TATATATTTACATAACCCATCGAGATTGGTTTCTTTCTGTCTGTCGTCTTTCTTTTTATAATCTCATGTGTTGTCACCATATTTTTTTGTCCCTAGACTATTTCTAATTGCAGATCGCTTTTCCATCTTACACAGTATGTCTGTATTTTAGTTGACCATAAGTTTCTCCATAGAGGTGATCACTTCTATCGTTTAAAAGCATAAACAATATAGTTTCGGTATATTCCGAGTACGCCACCATCTGAACTGCTGACTTTTGTGGTATCCTTTCCTTTGCTAATCACCATCACAATCAGTATTATTTTCCCGACGTTGTCACGTTAATTTCCCCTTTTCTCAATGGCCTGCTTTTAATCAGTCTTTTAATGTAGTTGCTTCACATCGCGTCTCACTCCATAATTAAACGTCTAAGCTGCGTTTACAACTTTTTTTTTATTTATTCTCACTTTTTTACTTCTTTTTTTTATCTCCACTTGCTAGTTTTGCTGTCATCCTAGTAGAAATTTTTCAAGAATTTTTACTTACTTTTATCTTCGTTAGTAACTTACACGTCGTCGCGTTATTGCGGTATCGCATTTGTACATACACGTAAATGCAAATGTTAGAATTTTATATGTTTTTTTATTTTGTTGTTGTTGTTGTCACTGTTAAATACACTTGTCGTGTTCTTCTTTATTACATAATAATAACAATCCTAATATAATATCCTGTTTTTCCTAGCAAACAATATCAGTGAATCTTACCATTCACGCTTTTATTTACTGCAATGGAGTTCGTTGAGGTCGTGCAGCCATCAATTCCAGTGGTTAAATGTGCGTTTTTACCAGCTCTGATGGTGTTATCTGTGCCTTGTGTCCCGCGCGATTTTCGGACGAAAGGCAAGACCATAGACAGGACAATTGCTGCCAGCGCGAGCACGTGTCCATAGAAGAACACCTCCCGCCATATGTGGATTGCTTTGCTAAATTGCAGAAGAACAAACGGTGCCGTAGTGTAGGCCAAGAACGACGTAGAAAAACAGAACGTCAGCAGATCGTAGAAGAACTGAGAGACGGGCCCATGGACGAGGAGCGGTCTCAGTGAACGTCGAACCCTTCGTGAAGCCATCACAAACAGCGAGCATGTCATGAAGGCGAGGAAGTAACCCGGATAGAAGCCGTGCCACAACGCTGATAGCAGAAATGTCATGCCGGTCTTGTACGGCGTACGCCTATCATAACAGACGTGCTTCAGCCAACGTTGCGTAGATACGTTCCAGTTGTCGAGGATAACCTTGAGGCTGGGTGCCGTCTCAAGCTTAAAGATGTGGATGTTATTGGCTCCATCCCAGCGTGATTCACCTTCCTTGGTAATATAATAGCCGTAGCCCGATGAATTGCAGACGGCTTCGGACAGCTTCCATACAAGGTAATATTGCACACGGCTAAGGAAGCTAAATGCATTTAGCATGAGTACCTTCTTGAAGAATGGCAGTTCTGAGTACCATGTTGATAGCAGCTGGGCTTCAGTTAGCTGTGGTACGACCTTAAGGACGAGGGCGGCGTTGACGGCAACGTAACCAAGTTTTCGGGCAACCTCCCAGTGTGGTGGTGGCTGGAGCTCATCCGTCCGTAGGTTCTTACCCTCGGCAATGCGTGAGAACTCGTTGTACGATATGAGTGGCCCCGCGAGAATTTCGTGAAAGTCAAACATATACGCGAAATAAGACAACGCATCGGGCGGTATCGGTATCGCATCTCGGCGTTGATCCTCGGTGAGGCCTTCAGGGCGAGCGCCGTCTCGCAAGCTGAACGCCAGTGTTGTTACTCGCTGCGTGAGCATCATGATCGGGCCAGTGATATCGATTGTATAGCCATCAGGGTCTGTATACTGTCGGATGATATGACAAATTGACTGGTAGAATAGCGTCACGACTAGTGTAATTAAGGGTAGTTGATCAATTGGAATGATCTTCATCAGCAAGAACGCAATGACTGCTTCAGCCACGACATGTAATACATCTCGGCCAAAGCAGAAGTACAGAAGTGACAAACCAATTGCGATAAGTGACGCCTTCCGAGTCCTGATGGACACACTGCCGACAGGCATTAGGTAACCATAGAGATAACCCATGCCAATCGAGGTCAGTCCAGCGATGAGAAGGTTAAATTTGTCCACCTGTACACCAACAATTTTGGCTACAGGCTCAAGCACCGTTGAGCCGTGGTAGTTGCTAAGTTGCGATTTCCAGTGTGACATTGTTTATTATTGTTTATAGCTGGGCGGCTTTGACGAAATTCCGCCCTTACTACTATAGAAAAGCTGTCTCTTTGATTTTTTCCTAATGCTTGGTCAAAGAGCCAAGTAGGATGTAGAGAGGATCTATGTTACCGTAGAAAAAGGTGTTCGTTTCCTCCCTACAGGATCGACTAACTTGCCTGTTTCTCGGTACTCAGAAGCGAGAACGGTTATGGCCGATTAATTTCTAGTTCCTAGTTATAATAGTGACAATGATAGTCGTCCGCCTACTAGAAGTGATGTCCGACGAATAATTAGCTGTGTGAGTCTCGATTTGAGAGAATGCGCTACGCGACTAAATAGTTGCTCTTGCAAAACGCAGCAAGGGCACTCCTAGTCTGACGTGTTTCTTCAATAAGCAATGGTTGGGTGAACGAATATGGTGTCGCTGGGAAATTCAGAATATTGAAGATTTACGTAGAAGTTGTAGCAGCGATTACAGTAAAGTCCAGATTGCCGCCTTCTACGTTGCCCGTAAACTGAGGTTTCCTTTTGACAGTGGTATAACGGGACCTTATTCACAAGATCGTCCACTGTTGTGATGTACAATAGATGAACCTGCAAGCACTAACACGGCAGCAAGGAAGCATACAACACAGGAAGAAGAAAAAAAAATACAGAACCGATTAAATATTTATTGACAAAGGCCTCTCCACAACGTTCTGGGCAGTTTTGGTACGGGAAGAACACAATAACAGAGGGTACTGGGTTTATGCTTTTGGGGCCTCGTATCTCGGGTTTCTCCGCTTCTCTATGTGCGGCTAGCTTATTGGAAAAAGATGACTTCGCATACAGTTTTTCGATTACCTATTATTCTAAATAAACAACAGTACTACGAGGATGAAAACTCTACTAAATGTGACCTTCCGTTGTCGACTGGCGTTACCTGTCACACAGTTGAGCCAACGTGTTACTGATAACAGTTCGTCAGTTAAAATGTGAGTGAGCGATGCGTACCCATAGATTTACTCGAACACATACAGAACATCCATTCATAGGCTTGCAACGGATCATTCCAAACACAAGCACTCACACTGAGACATAGCAAGGACGCGAACCGATGCCAGCAATACGTGCTTCGCAACACATACGATCCGCCCTTGAGGTTTGATTACGGATCCTTAATTAGCCTAAGTTAAGGCTGAAGTTGTCGCAGAGAAGCTAACTGGTTACACTTATGATTGGTTAACACGGAAACGCGGCCGGTACAAGTTAGCTGACATGTTATACAGGCAAACAGACGGAATGTTAACCGGCAGGCAAGCATTCAGGTACAATTTTAGTAAGCCATACGTTAGAGTTAGAAGTTAATCTTTCTGTAGCTCACTTGCCGCTCGGCAAATTTTTTCCTTATCCAAACTTATTCCATTTACATGGATGCGTTATTTCTACAGAAACAGCGCACCCTTATCCATGGATTATGAACATAACCATTATCGACCTATGTACATAAATACCTGCGCCCAACCAATTGTCTATTATCGTTTCCAGTAGGCAATCGCTGAGCTTAGTATGAACAAGTGGGGGCGATCTGGCTAGACGGCGGATTTATTCGAAACTCAACTTTCAATTCAGCTACTGCATTGCGCTATCACTGATTTCGGCTGCGCTGGGCTGTTACGACGACTGTAATCACTATAATCTTTCAATCCTGCAACCTATGCTCCTCGTGCTGCTAGAGCTGCTCGAAGCGCAACAGCCGCTGTTGATCACTGTCGCTGTCACAAAGTTTCTTCTCTCTCTGTATCACTGACAACATGGACAGCGTCCCATCCTGGTAGCCAACGTTTATACAAACGCAGCGCTCGCAGGTACGCTAGTTACAGACGGCGGCGAACTGTATCATTGCGAGCGGGTCGACGCTTACGACAGCCAGGGCTTTCTGCGACTTTTCTCCTCTGCTCACACAGAGGGCAAGAATTCGAGCCGCGAGGCGACGCGTAAATGGATGCGTCTCGGAGGATACCGACGATGTCGTTTGTCGTTGCCAGAAGGAGAATGGCAACGAACAATAGCAAGACGACGTTCCAGAAATGAATATCTAAGGCGAGAAAGAAAAGAGCCTAACTGTAGCTAACAGACTGTGTGTCGGACGGCCGTACCAAAAGCAAATAGCAATTGCATAGTAAGTAGCAATGGTCGTGGCTAACGTTGCGCCAGCACGTTTGCCTATAGAGCTCAGAGGACTAACGCGATGGGGTGGGTTCGAAACTGCGCATTGCCACTGAGTTTGTTTCGTATGAGAACGGGGGTTGTCGGCAATCTGAAGTAGCTATATTTAACACTAGTTAAGACCATTATTTAGAGTGAATATAACTGAGAATTTTCCGAAGCTGTACTTAACGGCCATACTGGAACTATTTACAAAACATTTGTTTGTAAAGTTATGGGTGAAAATTAAGTAAGTATATATACGCACTCGTAGCGACAGTGGCTATAATTGAGTTGAGTGTGAGACGAGATCGGCAAAACGCTTTTAATACAAGCAGTAACTATACGCTTCAATGAAAACCATAATCGAGCAGTAATCATAACGACGATCAACGGACCAGGTACCGGACGAATGGTTTCTACTGAAAAATGGAACTTCGATGAATTTCGTCCAAGCTACACGTTTTCCTATCTCTGATTATGAGAGTACACAACACAAAGTCCCTGTTGTCCTCGTCCCTTTCGACTTATCCTGATATCTTTCCTACTAACAGATAATGTCAAGAGTGCAGCAGAGCTCCGTCTTTCTCATCTATCCACAAAACGGGCCCATCGTAGTGCAATACGTAGCATTAGTTCGCTTTTGGTGATAAACGTTCAACAAGGGATGAAGTGCGTTCTCTTATCATCATGCAGTTAGCTCATTTCATGTGAATAAATGTTCTTCAAGCATCGTTCTGTATTATTATATATTAAACTTCTGCTGCTTCAGTGTTTGACAACCTTCTCATATGGTATTAAAAGCTTAGCGCAAAGCCAGTTTCAAACGGACTTTATCACGAATCAGCTGCTTTATGAAGCTCCATCTTACTGACGGTTCATAAATAATTAGCAAGGCGAAATTTGCCAGACATGACTACGTACGGTTACCTGTCTACATTAATCAATACGCAAAAATTATGCTTGCGGGGTAAAGCCGATTGATTCCTTTAAAATAATATCACGTTCCCCCCTCAGAGGTACAAAAAAAAACAGCTAGAAAATTAGAAAGATGAACGGCAGCACTATATATATATATATATATATATATATATATATATATATATATACATACATACATACATATATTTAAAATATTCCTAATGAAGAAACTTACTTCAAACTACTTTCCTATATGAGCTGGTTCCGTAAGTTTTTGCCATACCGCGAACACGTGCAGTGCCGCCCAAGGCTCTGTGAGCGAAGTCCGTATCGAACGAACTGTAACATAAGGTAGTTCAGCGTGAAATGTGAGATTGTAAGTCCTAATCTTTAGGCTTCTTTCTTAAGACCATTATTACTTTCAGTCAAAATATACATCATTGCTACCTATGACTTTCCGCCATTTGGATGGTAACTTATTCAACTGCTGTACGAGCTAATGTACAAATGTCTATGAAGTCTCGGAAGTACTATTTCGATATCACCTTGAAGTTCGAACAATTTTCTTTAATGAAGTCATTGAGATTTAAGAAAAATGGCAATTCGCGCGCGAAATGCCTACCGAGTATAATGAGCCCTGCATTTTTTGAAGCAGTGATTTTTGCGGTGTGACGCCGGGAGTTTATGCTAAATAAAAGCTCCTGTTTACTAATCTTGACTATTTGATTCCGTTTTTTTCTATCTTTTACTCCAATCATTGACAGTGCACCTCAACCGACAAACTGTAGTGGACATCACCTACATTAAACTACCAAGCAGCTTTTTGTTCTTTTATATTTGTTTTAGGATGGTGCCTCGCCGGTTATGTAGCGTTCACCCACTGGTGTGGGACATTGCATATGGTTATCGCAACCAATTTCCCATTACAAATCATCATTTGGTGCAAGATTAAGAGGAAGCGTCTCTACGTCTCTGCTTTTTATCCTTACCGAGACCGTCTTGTTCCACTTATTTGCCCTACGAATTTGACTGAGGTGAGCAAGTGGGGTATTTTTGCATACATCAAACTTTAGTGCTAAAACCCATACACGTTGAGATGGGTCAGTTTTTAACACATCTTTCGGCTTTTCGTTGTCCACCTTCCCAGAGGGCCTTCCACGAAGCTTATTTTCCAGTTGAACTTTTCTCCGAATTTTTCGAAGTAACGGCCTACGGTGGTTCTTGCAGTAGGACCTTTGGCGAATACAGGGTTTTGAGGCAACCTGTCTTCGCCCCCGTAGCTCCCAGACGGAACTCTTGTTTGCAATCTCGACTGTTCTGATTTTCATTGCTCACTACAACCCGCCTGGTGGGAATTTCAGTGACGATATTCAAGTGAGCAGTCTCAGATTTAAAAAACAAACAAGAGTGCATCTGAAATACAAAAACCATTCCGAAGCGTCACATCTTCATAGCGTCATCTTGAACCCTGAAATCCATGTTTGTTTCGATCCACACAGAGCAGCCTACTACAGTAATGTATATCAGTAGGAGCATAATGGTTAATACGATCAGCGCTTGGCACTCACATAACTGCCTGAAATAGATGTAAAATTTAAAAGCAATTTAAATTGGACAAGGAAATTTCACAATCTCGGTTGATGTGGTCGATGCGGACGGCGGCACTTATACTATTATGTCTAATATATTATTGATAAAGATTTAACTTGTTTAAATGTATAATGTAGTTACTTTTGGCTAATAATTAAAGAAAAAAAACTCCCCGCGAGGTCGACAGTGTCCCCGTGGACTACTTGGGTGTCTCACAAGCTTCTACTTCAGCAGCCTTTACCTTTTTTCAGTGACGAGAATTTGATTACAAATGACAAACTAATGGTCATCATGCGGCCTTGCCTGTTCCTTAGTTCTATTCGGATAAAGCCATCCGGTTGAACACGACGTCGACGGTTTGAGACCAGTTTCTGACGATGGCCGTTACAGATGTGAATTATTATACCAGTAGCACATAGGTCGATTATGAACAGCTGTTTAGAAAGGTACTCTGCAAGTTTGTCTTTCGGCTGCTTTCCACACTCAAACTTGTTAGCTAGAGATTTCATACGAACGTGAAATGTGTAACCAGCAGGATGATACTGGTGATACCGGCAGATATTTTGAGGACCTAATTGCTCAGCTCTCGCCAATTGAGGCGACAAGGGAGTCGATACAGCCGCGCACTCGCAAAGCTAGTTAATATTATTATTCTACGTTTAGGGACAGTATGATAGCGGCGCTTTCGGCTGACTGCGTTTGGGTACTCCCGCAGATAAATCACTACACAATTCGATTCTCTTTTCGCGACTAAACAACATTCAGAATTCATTTATTCGCTGCCGTTGACATCATAAAATCGTCGGAGCTGATCATCGAATTCACTCTATTTCACCGATCCGCAACGCCGTTTACGACACCCACTAACAACATTCGCTTGCCCCTAACATTACCAGCAAAAAACAGAATGTGTATAGTTGTCTGCTACAGTCAATTGAGTTTCTTTCTCTATATCACAGCTGTTATTATTATTATTATTATTATCAAGTCCTATTAGATATGTATTGAATCATATTTGCATCAAATCACTTTCGAAGCAGGTTGCACTTGTATAATATATGCAAGCTTCTGAGAGCAGGGTACACTGGCTATAATTCAACTACTCTTTGATGACTGTCAGTTGTTTCTTTTTTTTTTTTTTTTTTTTGTTTTTTTTTGCTACAGTGATAGTGAGCGATCATATGTCGAAAATGTAACAGAAAATCTAAGCATAATAATATTGAGCTATATTGCTAACCTAAATGGAATTTAGATTCATTGGTATGGTAGTGGTTGGACAGTCCACTGTCCAGCCGCCGGTAGACTAGCAGCGACCCTGAAATCTTTTTTTCACTATCATACGTCAGCAGAATTCATATATCTAATAACAATGATGCATCTTAGCATATCTGTTGTTTAGATTGGAATGGATAATGTCACCAGAAAATATCTCTTGACAATTGCCTTCTCTCGTATAACAAAGCCGGTTCGTTTGGCAACACCCTGCATGAGAAAGTCGTTCGTACTCTCAGCTAATCAAAGTGTGGTAACAAGGAAACAGGTTAAGATGATCAGAGGGTACACTAAGGTTCGGTGTTCCACTTAGCCAAATTGAATCACCGTTATTTTCATTCTATGGTTCCTAGGTTAGACTATCATTGGAACATGGGATGTATGAGGCATTATAACACCTCTCTTGAACCCAGCTTCATGGTGCGCGCCTGCTTGCGCTCGTCTGACCTAATTCCTTGTCCCATTCCTAGGAGCTAAAATTCGGCACAATATCTAGAACGCTTTGCAAAGCGCAGAGTCATGTCAAATGTATGCGTCTACTGCTGTGAGAATTTTCGGCTCTTTCGGGTCAATGTGGTGTAAGGATCAGGCGTGCCCTAGCTACTGGGATCGAAATCTTCTAAGCATCTATCACTATAGCTTCCAACCGTTCAAGAAGATTACCGCTGTGGTCTCTGAAGATAACGTCGATATCTGTAGTATTTTGAGGGATCGGACCCAGATAGGGTGACCAGAAAAAAGGGAATCGGATAAGGTTAGAATTCGAAACTCCTCTAATCACAATCGTCTGTATATGACACAGCAGCATTAGCAGCCAGCAATCAATGGTTCGAATCCTAGCGATGACATTTTCTGCATAATAGCAGTGAGTAAATAGAACAAACTCACTAGTATTGGCTCCTAGCGTACCTGATGTCGAACTATATTAGGGTTGGTTAATTTTTTCGCTCCTTTTATTTCTTTCGTAATTATCATCAATTCTCTTATTGCTCTTCCTGGTGTCAAAACGCAGTTTCAAAAAATAATTTTAATAGATCAAATGTGGCTACGAAACCTTCGAAGGGCAGGTAGAAACAGGTAGGACCGGCTACGAGCTGTAGATGGAGTTTCGTGTGGTGACCTTCTGAGAGTATGCCTATTTCGTCATCCTACAAGGCGCCTAACACATCAATAACTAGTTCAAATATATTTCTAAAATCTTACCGGTAAAAGCTGCTCATCACTAAAGCTGACCATCCTATTAGCTAGGAGCGCGTATGAACTTTTTGAATTCTTACGAACTAGTTGTCGCTTCTTAAAAAAAACGTGCCTGAAAAACGATGTTTTAAACGGGGGGATAAAAAAAAGGATAGGGGTTGAAACCTACCTATCCTTTCAGCCTAGCACGAAATCGTCCCTATAGTTCCTATGCGGCTATAAGTATCTCGGTAGAGCCATCAATGTCAACCGTTCGGTTTATCGATTACTACTGATTTAGAAGTGGTGAGCATGGAGGACATGTTAGCCCGAAGGCGAGTACATTCGTTCAACGAATGCTGTGTTGGGGCCGGAAAAATCAGTGCAGATTATTCAGGATTTATCTTGAATTGCAGAGTAGCTTCTTATACCGGTGTAAATTGCTAGATCCTCGTTCCTTAAGTGTATGAGGACCAAACTCAGGACACTATAGGACAAGTCATTTAGAGGAGTCACTTAATTTTGCGGGCGCAAGCGTCCTTCAACAATCTTGTAATTGTAATGATTCTTGTCCACGGGCATTGCGCAAGTAGACTGCGATTTGACTTGTTATTCTTTGATGGGCCGTTCAGCCTAGTTTTTTCCTTGTTAAGACAACTGTTCCAAGTATAGACGGCCTGGTAGATCATTTCGGAAGTCATTTATTGCAACATGCTTTAAAGCGCAAAGGATCGTTAATTAGCTTTCTGAGTAATTGCCGTAAATGTGTAATACTTTTAAAAAACAGTAAAATATCTTGGGTACCGTTTTCATTTTCCTTTTAATCTGTTACTCCTTTCCACGGCTACTTGTCTCTGCCGAATAGCTCGTTCCATCGTAAGCGACTAATCATCGCAGTACCCTAAACCAATGACAGACCTTTTCCACCATCGAATGAATTTCCCAATGATCGGCTGTAATAATGATTGGTAATTTTTTTCCTTTGGTAAAATTACCTAATTTCTGGTAATATCAAATAGACAAATGTGCGCTTAAAAACAACGAAAAAGCTAAAAACAAGATGTAATGTCCAATGACATTTTGGTAAAAATCAGCGTTTAGCCGTGAAAGCGCAGACGGTAAATTTTTTTTTTCACGAGATAAAGTAGCTTCTATTTGCAAGGCTATCGATTCCGAAACACTCACGAACGCGACTTGCCAAGAGGACCGTTTAGCCAAATGCTGGACGGCTATAATCACAAACATTGATATTGCTCCATCGCATTGCATCTATAGGCGTACAACTGCTTCGACAACTACAA